ACATTAGGGGTGGGTATGCCCCATCGAGCCTCTGAAACCACATTAGGGGTGGGTATGCCCCATCGAGCCTCTGAAACCACTGTAACTTGAGCAAACTCCAAGTAGTTTGAACCTCGACATCTTAGGCCACATAGAAAATCCCAGGAAGGCACCGAGGTCCCGCCATGAACCCCGCCTCATCGTCCATGCGCCGTTCGACCTGGAGGTCTGAAGGCCTGAGTCAGCTAGCCGAGAGGCATGGCTCATGAGCTCCAGACCTTCAGGTCTGAAGGACCTGCGGTGGGCGGAAGAAATCCTGCACCACTTTGATACAGCCTTCATCCAAAGCTGACGACCAGCAGCCCCGCATCCCTATTCAATGTTTTGTCATGCAGGATGGTGGTGCAGGATTTCCGTCCACCTTTGCGGCTTCGGATGCCAACAGGCCTCCAAACACTCCGACGAACACTCCACGTCACATGGAAATGGACGTTCTGGTGTTCTGGGAAGACCATGAACTCCAAAGACAAACAAATAGGCGGTGTTCCACTTCCATGTTAGTGAGTCGGAGGGTGTATACATGTCAAAATATGCAATCATATCCAAATGTTGGCTCATGATTGACAAATGACAGGTCGAGTTTCCGATATCGTTCGGGCCTTGAAGTATTTTTTTCGTTTCTTCGACCAAGCCCGACCCGATTGCCTTGGTGGCTGCGCTGATGCTGGAGGGGTCTTGGGACGCATGCCAGCCTGCACAAGTCGTTTGTCGCCTGGACTTCCACTGCTGCTCTCAGTCAGCTGTCTATGGAGGGCACTTGGCCTTCATGGTTTCTGTCAGCCAAAAGATTTGAAACAGCACCTGTCCTGTGCATAGGCAGCCAGCATCTGGCGTTGCATACCTTTGCTGATCCTTGGGCCGTCACGACACAGCACACAATTCTTTGCACTCCGCCACTTGGATGCACTGCCTTTCAGGTGTATAAGTGGTGTGTGCGTGCACGTTGAACGGTGTACACATCAACCTTGATCGGAGGACAAAACGACAAAACCATCTGAATGAAAAACAACAGTAAACCAGAATGGTACAAAAATGATCAAGTAGAAACTTGATATTTGATCAACATTTACTCTGTTGCAGAGCTTGGCTTCTATGGTCACCCCGCGGCCGTGGCCGGTCTATCCACCTCTGAGCAAGCAGCGTGCGTGCCAGGCCATCCCGCTCGGCCTGGGGGCAGGGCATGGCTCGTGCCACCGTGCGTTTCGGCATGACAGGAGCCGCCGATCCCCAAACGACCTAGCTGAATGTAGGATAGGCCATATACACTGCCATTTACATAATATATATAGAGAAAAAGAAACAAAGAAACAAACAAACAAATACACACACAAAGAACCAAACACAACCCCGGAAAAGGCCATCGGCTATAAACTCCCCGGTGTTAAGCTCAAGCTGATCAAAGCGCCCAGCAACGAACTTCGATACAAGTGCTGTGCACATCTGCTCTGATGTAAACCATTTGAAAAGGGAGGTGCAACAAGTCTCGTCCGCCAGTGGTTACTTAGTTCTTCAGCGGATGGATAAGTATCCCTGGCGCTTTCTATCTTTTGACCAAATCCTGGCATCCTGAGGTGGTCCCAAACTGTCCCAAACTCCATGATATTCTTACCGCAAGTATCTTAGATGGCAAATTGATGCGACATTTCATGGCAACTCCGTTCTGCGCTCAGTCTCACATCGCTCCTTTTCTCCTCCGAGGTCTCTCTGGGCCAGTGGCTGAGACGCCAAATCCAAACAGCATGTCATGCTGGTGCAAACCGGCCAACGTTGGGTGCACACATGCCAACAAAATAACCACATGTTGTTGTTCTTAATTAAGTAGGCGCCTACTTAATCAAGGGCTAAACAAACTACAAGGTACCCTGCTACTAGCTAGGACGCAGGATAGCTCACGCTTCTTCAATAAAAGGGGGGGAGCTTCTTTGAAGAAGCGCTCGCACTATTTGGTTCCTATATGTATAGATTCATTTCATTTAAACAATGCCTGCTTGCTCGATGAGAGATGACGTGTTGAATAATTCACAACGATGGGCAACAAGAACACCACTAGCACCTAGGGAGACCACTGCCACTTGGTTGATGAGCTTCCACCATAGTCCTTTCCAAGTAAGGCAAATTGGACACAAACATGGAAACCATTCCCGTGCAGGATGTGGAGTCCTCTGCAGCCGGCTCTGTCCGAGAGATCTGCGCAGGAGTCATCCGCGCGACCGGGAGCACGGTCAGTGCCAAACCTAACTCTGCTAGCTGCTGTTGGGAGGAAAAACACCTCTTTTGACCCGCTAAGCTGCAAAGGTTGGAGCTGCTTTCATAGTGTGCACCTAGGGTAAAACACTGGATAAACAGGGTAGCAGTTGAAGAGTTCTACGCGTGACAATGCCATACATGTTCAAATGGTCTGGTCGTGCGGAAATTCTCAGTCACATGTAAGCACATAATGGTGATGTTATATGATATTATGCAAGGCTTAACAAAAATATGCAAAAATGAAACTGCAAGTGATGTTGAACTTCCGCGTGCTTTCCACAAATCCTGTCAGCCTGGCACCTCCGGTCCTCTTCTTCGCTTGGAATGCTCTAAGCTGCTAAGCCGTGGGGCCGTGTGCCCAATGATTCGTGCGTTGGGGCCCAGCAAACACAGTGAAGCCAAAACAATCCTTGTTGATGACCCTGAGCAAACATACCTATCAAATGGCATTCCAGTTGAACATGGCAAAGTCGTTGTATACGTTCAGGTTATATCTGCAATGCGCAGTCACATGTATTTTACGTCATGTTTGCACGTGCCGTCATCACAAGCCGGCCGCACTGGCACTGGCACTCTTATTTTCATCTTTCCATCACTTTCCTGGCAGCGAGCAAGCGGCTGCAAAGTGCACTCCCAATCTGGTCCCCAATCAAGCTTTTGGCCGCCTCACCGCACCAATTCCTTCCTTTGCCCTCTGTCCATCCAGCACTAATCTGGAGATCTGCTGGATCCCTCCTGGATCCCTCCCAGTCGTCTCAGTTGTCTCCATGTTGGGGTGGCATATGGACATTTACAGTGAACAATTGCTCCTCTTGCTTGTTTATCCATTCCCAGTCTTGCTGCAACATGAGCACCAACGTTTGTAGGATCCACTTGCACTAGGTTCACAAGTAAGGCTAGGGGCTGGCAAGCTAGCACAAGTTGGCTTCAGCTTCAAACGCTGCACGGCGATTGTCCCTGCTTAGTATATTAATGTTCCTGCTTGGCCTAACAGCATATGCAAATGCTCCAAACAACGGCACGTTGTTCACTGTTCTTCAGGATGCTAGCCTTTGTGTAGCGTGTCGCGGAGAAAAAAAACAAAAAGTATTCTCTGACCCGGCCTTTGCCTTTCTTCTTATTCCCAGCATCCAGGACGCTGATCTTCTCTGGCGGCACTTGTTTCCATTCAGCTGTGATGATATCCTGATCACAGCAAACTCAGGCAGCCAAGCGCGCTGGTGGTCGTGTTTCTGTGCCTGAGACTCGAAGATATTACACATTCGAGGCTAACAAGCAATGACTGTGTTGGTCAAACTCCAGTCATGGGGCATGGAGTAGAGGGCGAGGCCTCTCACGGCGTGGCTAAAAAGCTCCCGCAGGTACCCCATCTGGTCTGGTGCAAGTGGACACGGACGTGTGAAGGAGCATACATCAAGGGACTGCGCTATAGCTGCAGCTTTATCTGATGTGAGTTAAGTTTAAATCTCTCCGCAATGCCCAGCAAGCCCAGCAGCCAAATAGCAAAGTCATGAATGCTTTGACTTAAAAAAACATCGGCATGCCAGGAATGTGTTTAAAAGACCACTCTTTTGCATGGGTATGTTCACAGAAGTCTGACATCAATGTTGACCAATCTCGCTTCCTCCAACATCAGGCCCCTCATCATCAGCTGCTAGTGTTCCATGGTGCACTTCTCAATCTTCCCAAAAGCCAAGCACCATGTTGTTTCTTTGGAGACTCTTGACCAATGCATTTCTACCTTCTCTCCGAGTCATTCACATGGAAGTGGAAAGCCACCTGTTTCAAACTGTGTCCACTTGCCACGAAGTCATTCACATGGAATGCACCCGAACGCACCACCCCCAATCCGCCCAAATTTCACGAAGGCTCGATGACTTCGTCTTCAAAGTCACCTGCACCCGAGAGAAACGCCGCTGGAAACGGACAGGGCCTCTTGGAAATTTGAGGATGTGCGGCAACTCTGGGCATATGGCAATGAACAACAAACAGTTCTAGGTTACGCGGCAAATCCAATGTCGACCACCTGGGAAATTCACAAGGATAGCCCTGGTACATTCAACAGTGATGCAGTCCAAATTGGACTCTCTTTCTAGCAACCGGCATGGGCTTGCTCTGGCTACAGCCTTCTAGGAGTCTTGCTCTTTGTTCCCGGCTAATGGGCGCCTTTACCCATAACCATCATGTTCATGAATCGCATTGAATTGGTGTATCCTAAAATGACCGTGTGGAATTGCAGCAATCCCAGTGGAAGAGTTGCACATCGCCCCAAACCTCACCCATCCTCACCACTTGGGAGGGGTGATGCTGCCAGCATGGGGCGCCTTGGATGTCCACAGTGTCTGGGAGAGTGTTCTCTCCCTTCACCACAGCGCAACCACAGGCAAACTTCTTCTTGAAGAGCTTCCTCGTCTCCGATCCGAAACTGTTACATCGACTGCGCAGTCGATGGAGGCTGCGAGCTCGGAAGCGAACGAGACACCGAGCAGTCGATGGATGCGTGAAGGAGATACTCCAACTGGGACAAGATGCGCCACATCGTCCAGCTTGATGCTGAAGGTGTCTAATCCAGCCACGCTGGTGACCTCAAAGAATGGCTGGGCAATCTAGATATCGAAGTACCGAATCGAGAAGTCTTGTGGAGATCAAGCAAGTCCTCCAACCATGTCTCCATGTGTTGAACCAGGTAAGGCCAAGGTTGAATGCTTAAGCACATCTTTGGTCTTCTGCTTCACAATGACAACAATAAGTACGGCCGAGACTCAAACTGGCGGTCTAGCAGCCTAGAATTTCAGCAACCAATCCTTCGACCGTTTTTTCGATAAAATCCTAAGCTTGTCATCGGTCATTCTGAGTCATTCCGTTTCTTTCCGCCCCAGTCACTTTAGCCCTTCCTCCCCGAACCGTTCCCACATTCACTCGGCTCCCGAGCGCATTTCCGGCCACCGCGGTTCAGTTTTCGGATGGTCACCTGATGCTGAGAAGCAAAGCATTCTAGCTGGAATCCAATAGTGAAGTCTACTGAAGGAGCTCCTACAAAGCTATCTACTTCTACTAAATGTAGAGATTCTTGGGGCTGTTGCCACCTCGAGTTGGGGAGATAGCATGAAAGCCTCACTGGTGTTGATGATTTGAGGGCTGCAGGACCCTGGAGTCGCCGAGCCACCGAGACGTCTTCTCCAGACGTCTCCAAACGTCTCAAGTCCCGTCTCCAAAGGCCGATCTTGAGTCCACACCGCCGATACAGCATTCCAAAGGGCACTGTGTAGTTCACGATTAGAACTTGAGCATCTGAAACTTGAGCTGAGGTGCATGTGGCGATTTTGCTCCTAAGTGTGGCACGGGCTTGAGCTGAGCTGCATTTGGGCCCATCAACGCATATGTTTCTGCAAAATTGAATGGCTCGAAGGCTGAAAAACGTGACAACTGCATCCATTCAAGCAAACCAGGAAGTAAACTTGACACTTCTACCAGGGTCATTACTGGTCTAAACCCTGCTGGAGGGCTAGTCTTGCAGTGATGTTCATCTTTTATTCCTGGCAAAGACTTTTAGCAGGCTAAACTTGCAAACAAACTTGGGAAATCATGTCCTAACAAGCTGTGCCAGCAAGGAACGCTTCACTTTGCCACCCGGCAGCAACTTTTCTTTGGACTTTTCACCGAGTTCCTGATGCCATTCAAGTGGGAAAACATGGTGTAGTACAGTAGGACGACCCAGGGGCCACGTCACTGTGCCTTTTTACGGATCTGATCCCCCAAACCCAGTGGTTTTCCAGGCTTTGACTGGAACATGTGTACCCGGGAGATCCAAACATGATATATCATGTCGTGGTCTAAACAGCAGGATGCTTCTGATCTTGAAGCATGCCCTGGCTCAGATCCACTGACTGTCATAGTTAGTTAGTCTCATACCAATCAGGACATGAAATTACCATTGACTCCCCAGGAAGCATCGAGAGCCCATCAAAGCCAGTGCTGATCGCCGGCCTCTGCCCTCTTCTTGGCATCCTCCAGCGACACGCCGGACAACTCGGGATAGTAGTGAGGGGCATTCCTCAGTGGAGGAACGGGGCAGCACCTGGACATCCATCCAAATGCGTCTCAGGGGTGTCTTAACTATGATCTTTGGCATTTGGTCGTGTTAATGGACAATGACTCATGACATCTCATGACCAAGAACGATCAAGAACACTAAGCTTTCAAAAGTATCTAGTTCTCGGCTTCTCGGCAAATTTGTTTGAACATGTGTTACATATTTTGAAATACCTCAGCATCAGTTGCAAGTCCCTATTCCAATGTTCTGATGAGCCAGGCACCACTGCATGTCGGGCCAACAGTGCATGCTCAGCCTGCGGTCAAGTGGCTCTAAACACCAAGGCTTGCACTTTTCCCAGCATGGTCCATACCTTGGCTGCGCTGTGCCACATTGTCAGCACATTCAGCGCAACTGTGACATGAATTTCTCTCCTTCCAGCTATCAGCGGAAGAAGCACATACATGCACTCAACCACAGTAAATCAGCAAAACATATATCAGATTGGTGGGACGTGCTTGTCTACCACTGCCCCAACGCTCACCTTGAAGGCTCAACAAATAAGGAAGGGAATGTACACACATCGGACAGTATGATCCGACAAACCCTTTGGATGCTTTGCCTTCAAATTAGTCCCGATTTCGGATAAAGGCCGACCAAATAACATGAGAACTGAAGTGTGGTGTTGCTTCACGTCGACCACTCACGATCGGTTCCCATGGGAACAGCAGCTATGATCAAACACTCTTGACTTCTGTGGCAAGTTGCTGGCAAAAATCTGGCGGTAGAGAACACAGCGGGCAGTAGGTCCTCAGCTGTCTGAAGGCAACTTGAAGAAGGGGGAGCTGTGACTGTGAGCCATGCGTCTCCAGCCCCGTCTCCAGCCATCCCCGTCTCCCATCCACGTGTGTGGAAGACACGCCCGAGCGTCACTGCCACGGCGGTCTCCATGGGCGGATAGGAGTCATGGGCCTCGACCGTTGGTCGAGCACAGCGGTCGGTTCGACAACCACCACGGCCGACAGAAACGGGTGTTCAATCCTGTTCGGCCGTATTTGGCTGAGCTTGTGTGTTTCTGGAGTTTCTAGATAGAGCCCCAAAGCCTGTCGAGATGACATGCTATGTGATAGCAACTCACCAACTGAAAATTCTCTCACAAGCCACATGAAGTTGGCGTTTGTTGTTACATATGGATATATTATACATTATATATATATATATATATGCATACACAAATTAAGAGATAGATTGTTTGAGTATGCACGAACATGAAACACACTCCCTTCTGCTCTTGTCAACTGCTCATGTCTAGTTGCGGATCGCACCTTAAAAACCACTCTAAAGGGTGGTGGAACTGCTGGCACTGCTGGCGCCTGCGACTGCGAACCGATCGCTTGGCCAAATCCAACCCGGTCCAGGACTCCGATTTGCTCACAGGATCTCACAGGTGTTTACACCCGGTCTTTTTTCCGGCGTGAGCGTGCCTTATCTGGCTTTTCACCAGGAAACTCTCACCACCCCTTCCAACCACACTACCTGCAACGAGTCAAAGGCGTTTCAAAGGGCTTCAAATGGCCCAGCCTCCGCAGCCTTCGCTCCGGGCTTGAACGAAGGCCCACAAGATTCGTTTCAACCACCCGGCCCTTTTGGAGTTCACACACGAGACATGTCATGCGTGACGCAGGTGACGCAGCACCGAATCTGGGAAGAGCCTTGCTGGGCTCCTCTTCAGCTTTGGGATAGCCTCCATCTTTGTCGCCCTGCCACGGGGTATGGAACTGGCCATGGCACGTTGTGTTTGAAACATGCGAGCCACGCTCATTCACTGGAACCATCTGGAACCTACTCCGTGCTTTGCTGTCACATGAGGTCATTCAACTGACTCTGCCTCGGCTACCTCAGTGCCTTTGGCATCCTCTTTGCTTTCGACCTTGGCCTTGCCGTCGGCCTCTTCCTGCTCTCACCAGAGAAGTACTGGACAGGAAAACGCCCACCATTCAGACAATGTCAAATACATCTGTCTTTCAGGAAGCACATTGTAGCAGCAGAAGTAGTAGCAGGTAGGTTCCCCCTCACTCCACCTGATTTTCTCTCACAACAAAGCTGCAACAAATGGGCTGCTTGATGGCAACGTTTCTTCTCACAAAGCCTAACCTTTACCCTATCATCTTTCCAGTAGGTGCTTCCTCGTGTTGCCATGCCAAACTGCCCACAAACCAAAACCACAAACATGTATACGTATCCGCACATACCCATCAAGAGTCCAGCGGTTTGGAATCTTTCTGCACATGCCTGGCTCCCTGCCCCTGGCCTCCAACAAACATGGAAGTGGAAAACCCCCTGTTTGTAGAGGAGAACCGTTTTTCCAGGGCACTTCCATGCTTGTTGGAAGGAGGATAAGCCTGAGTATATATAGTTTCTTCCAAGTCCAGCATGTCCTGTGACGTCTGTTTATGTACTGTGTATATATATATATAGTGGCAGACTAGCACTTAGAATGGCCCAAATTTCTAGGGATGCAGTTAGAATTAGGGTGTCCGTTCTGCAGATAGAATAAAGGTGATGTTTTTAGGCAGTTGGAATTATTATGCAGGTAGAATTAAGAATTATGCAGTTAGAAGTAAGAATCCTCAGACCCTTTCTTCCCTCAAGCACCGCAAGCTGCGAGGCATTCGACGCTCTCATGTGTGGCAAACTCATGCAATCTTGCAATGATGTGGCAATGTTAGTCCTATTTGCTCGTTTTCGTCTAACTGCATTGTTTTTGTATCAATATGTGTTTCACAGTTCTAGGAATTTCCTAGATTCCTAGTAGTGTTTCCTCATTAACAAAAATCTAGGTGCTAGTCCGCCACTATATATACTACCGCTCATCAACCAGGCTGTCCCCAGGCCCCAGGCCTTGTCAGCCTCCTCCTCTGCTTCATCTTCGGGTTCCTCTCCCACAAGCCCCAGGAACGTCAAACCCCGGCCGTCGGTTTCCCCAGCTTCCAATCTTCATGTCGAAGCGAGTCTCTTGAGTTTGGAACAATTGGAATCAAACAAATCACTTGAAAGATTTGAACAAATACCCTGCAGGTCAGCATCTCAAGTCCTCTTCCTCCTCTTCCTTGGCCTTGCCTTCCTTAGATGCCTCATCTGACGAGAATTCCATTCCTCTTCTTCACATGTCTCATCGGCGCACATTGACTACCAAAAACCCGATTCACGAGCTAGCACGCGTGTTGAGATGACCGACACCGCCCATCTGACTTGGTGTTATCCACTTCATGCTGTCGTGGATCTTGACTAATAGCACCTCAAGAGACTCAAATCTGGCACGTTCCAGGTGTCTTGTGTGCGTACGCACCCAAAGCCGCCACAAGTCTGGGAGGCATTGAAGGAATGAACAATCAATTATACAAATAAATCAACAGTAACATACTACAAACAAGTGTCTGCACTGAAAATGACTAATTATAGCATATCTGACCTTCTTGAGATCAAGAACCAAGCGACACCACCATGAGTCATGAGATGTCTTAATTCACCAGTCCGGTTGTTCGCTATCTAATCTCCAACTTCTTCACATCGCAGCGGATCCGGACCTTCTTTTTCTTTGGCATGGCGGACCAGGCTGCGATCAAATTCGGAGGCCACTTGATCCAAAGGCGACGGATGAGGGGAACCGCCGATGCCAAGGGGAACGGATCTGGCTGGATCTTGTATTGCTTCACTCTAGGAACCTGCCAACCAGGGGAACCCGGAATCTTGCGGTCTTTAGTTTGTACGCCTTGAACGTGTGATTCTTGGAATATCCCAAAACCAGGCCTCCCCAAAGCCGGCCTCCACCGGCTCTGCCTCGCCTGAGCAGTGGCAGCACCCCAAAAACAATGCAGGAACAGGGTCGGCAAATGGAGGAAGTGGAGCGGGACTGGGTCTGAGTGGAAAAACATCTTAAGCTTGGTCTGAGCCGTTGTCCCTGGTCTTTCTTGCGTGCACAGCTCACCTGGTTGACAAGCTGGTCCCAGAAGCATCTTTCACGGCCGTCTAGCCGTCTAGAGTTTGAGTTCGCGCGCGTCCGTCCCAACAGAAACACCACCACTGAAGATTTAAAACACAAACCATTGACTTCCATGGGCGTCGCCTCATGAAAACATTTGGGTGTGATATTTCAATAGGGACATCCCTCAACCAATGGATTGACCCCGGTAGATCTGGTCTATTTAAGTTCGATCCTTTCGATCCTTTTCAGGCAGGTCGGTGAAGGCAACATCCATTTCCGGCTTCGCCCATTTCCGGCTTTGCCCTGTCGCCTTCAGGCATGGCATTGGGAGCCCCGAAAACGTCCTCGGAGGACGAGTCATCCGGGCGGAGTTTTAGCGGGGGCGGTGGAGAGCATAGACACTGGGCTCATCAAAATGAGCGCGCCTACAAAACTAATCCGCAATCCTGCTAATCCGAAAAATGCTTGTAATCCGAACAATCCTTAATCCGCAGTAGGCCGTAATCCTTACCCAGCCTTACAATCCGCAGTCCTTAAAAGCGTTAGCAAGGAAAGAACCCAAACTCCTGAATGGGGGGCTGTTGGCTTGGATTTATAAATCCAATGTAGGTCACAACCCCGACTTGGAAGCCACTGAATTGGGGATTCTGGATTGAAGGGTGTTTGTGGCCATCGGGGTTGTGAAGGGTGCTTGTGGCCATAGGAATCCTCACAGCCCCGATTTGGAAGCAACCAACTCAAACCACTCAATTGGGGGCTCTGGATTGTGAAGGGTGTTTTGTGGCCATCGGGATTGTGAAGGGTGTTTGTGGCCATAGGGATCCTTACAACCATTGCGCTAGCTGGGGGTAATGGAGCCGAAGGTGCTCCAGAATCAGAGTTGTTTCGCCAATAGGAATGATCTGCACACTCCAAACAATCCAAAGCTCTAATCCGTAATCCTAGTCTCAAAACGGGGGCTCTGAGTTCTAATCCGTAATCCGCCCCAAACCGGACAATCCGATAGTTTGTAATCCGTAATCCCCCTTAGGATTAAGGATTACGTTTGATGAGGCCAGATAGAAGGAGGCACGTAACACAAAGAAAAATAGGGTATCTCAGTATCTCATTCAAATCAACAAAACGGTATGCGTGCATATGTGTGCAATTGCTGCAACACATTAGGCAGGGTTAGGGCGGCTAGGGAGATCCCAAAGAACCCCTGGAAGAAGGAAAATAGACTCAAACCCATTGGCTGGGGGGTCTCTACTTAAATACGAACCCATATCCCATCACCAGCAACAGTGAATGATGATATGGAAAGCAAAGGCCTTTCCCCCAAATCGTTTTTTCTTTTAACTTGCTGGTAATGATACGCCCTATAATCAGTTCCACACCCAGCACGTCTAAAGGACAGGTGAAAGTGCTACGTTACTAAAGCACCGGTTGAACTGGTGCGTGGAACCACTGGGACACATGAATGGTTTAAAGCCTTAAAGCAATATAATACAGTGATTTGTTTCATCATCTTGTCTTGAGGTCTCAAGCGAGGTGCCACTAGACTACAGTAAGTGATAAGTGTATATAAATGTGGACAGGTCAGCTTGCGGACCAGGATTGCAGTACGTTGCGTTGCGATGCTTCAAAAGGCTTCCTGTGTGAGTTTTGACTAGTCAGTTCAGGGCCTTGGGACTTGTCATACCTTTCCAACAGCCCAACCAGCTCATCAAGTATCGCATGAATTCACATGATGCATCAATGAAGCGTGCCCTCACTGCAGGTGAAACCTTCAAATGTCATCCCATCTTCATGTTGACTTCCTCTACCCCTGAAAAAAAAAACATCTTGGGGCCACACACCAAGAGGCACGCAGAAAAGTGGTTCGGAGCGCGGTATGAAAAGGCCCGTCCGGCTTGTTGATTGTGGATGTGAGATGATGTGAATCAATGGAAACTTGACAGAGCCCCCAAAGGTCAAAGATTCTGAGACACGCGTGAGGAAAAAAGACAAGAAGGACACAACCTAACCTGCCTAGTCTGGAACTAACATATATGATAGGATGATAGGATTTACTGGCAAATCAGGTGAAAGTGCTGGGCACAAGTCTAGTCTTGCTGGTCAGGTGCTGGCACCTCAATCAGAGTCCGGTGCTTGGCCCTTCGATCTTCACTGGTGCCTCTCTTCGCTTGTGGCGCATGGTGAACAGGGGCCAGTCAGACTGGAGCCAGACTAGAGACTGGAACTGGTGCTCCGGTGGGTAGGAGCGGCGCTGTTCGAGTATGTTCGATATATTTTTGATATGTTTGTTGTTGCTGAGCCACATCGATGTTCTCCTGTTCCCATACACTCCATGTATGGCATATATATATATTATATATATATGCATATATATGCCTACATTGACCCCCCAAACCACCCCAATGTAGGCATATATGGCATACATGGAGCGTCTGGGGTTGATTCTTGGCATGGACTGGTCGCTGCAGAAAGCGATTTCACGAACGGCTCTCTCGGAGCGCTCGAGCCGCTCTCCGCGTTCTGGGCATCGACGTCTTCTCCGAGGCATCACAAGTGGTCCAGTTGAACCGGTTGAACGTTGTCCAAATGAAAGCCAATCACTGAACACACACGTGCGAAAACCACGCAAAACTAGTAATGATCCATGGCAAGTGCCCGGGTGTGAGGGAAACTATGCATGCTCCACGTAAAACGTTAAAGTTCTAAGTGTCCGGCGCAAAGTTGTGCAGAAAAGAGCCGCATGATTCGATTATGAGAACTTCTATATAAGTCACCGATCAAGTTCCCGGATTCCAACTGAAGTCCAACGTCACTTCCCCGCATCCTTTTCTTCCAACAGGAATTCCACGAAAAAAACGGAGCAACATGCTGGCTGCCCGGACCAGAACTGATGTTTGGCCCCAGGTCGGCATGGCAATATGTCTATTAACACTCCGACTCACTAACATGGAAGTGGACGCCCCCCTGCTCGAAAAGGAAAGCAGTCTTCCAAGGGACCATGTCATGCCATCCACTTCCATGTTAGTGAGTCAAAGTGACACTTTCACTGATCTTCGGATGCACCGACATCTGTTGTCTCACCTCTAGGTTCGTGCACCGAACTCTGCACCTAAGGATCGAGGCCCAATCGGTCAATACCATTGAATACACTGAAACAACCCTGCACCTCTACCATCTGGCCATTGTAAACGCTTCGAGTCCGACCGAAGCAGAAAACCGCACGTGCCTGCCGGATCCGTGCAGCCACGAATTCGCCTCCTGCAGCCTCTGATGCCATCAAGATATCATCACAACAGGTTGTCTGTCTTAACCACTGTTGGCTCCTTGCTACGTTCGTAGCTTCTTACTCGTAGCGATTGCCTCCAACCTACTTGCGATGGTCAATAGCGTCTTAACCAATGTTGGCTCATACATTCTCAAGAGTGTCTTGTTGTATGGTAGGATTTTATGATTGCATCTTGAGATGAGCCTCTGTCTTCAAAACCTCCGTGTTTTGCAGCACCTGCCGTATCTGCATCAGCTGCGACCACTCTCTTGAATTCATCGCGCCCCAACGCGCTGTGCCGGCCATCTGGCCACCATGCACGGTCCCACTGTCCACTTCTCTTCGAGAAGGGGCTGGCCTCAATCACAATCTGTCCTGACAGCAGGAGAGAACAATGTTTAAAGACAACACAGCCCCTTCCCTCCCGGAATCTCCCTGATGGCTTTGGCATGTTGTTCTTTGCTCACCTCAATGTTTTTTGTTCTTTTTCGGGGGCGGGGAGTGGAGCAATGAATCATGATCGGCGATGGTAAGGCCAGCAACACATGGTCAGTTCAATACAAGGTCCCCTCAGCTCCGACATAGTTCGGGGTTACCAACATAATGAAGGCATTAGGTAGGTAAACCGAAAGGTGACATGTCACATGTTCCCAAAAGGCACAACTACTGGCACAACTGTATGAATTTTGGCCTTCTTGAAGTGTATACACACAATCATGCAAACAATGCGTTTTGCGTATGAGCAGTTGTTCAACCCCTGCTTTGCCAAAAAGTCGAAGGGATCCCAATATACACAATCCCACTATATCCCACTTCACTAAACAAAGGGTAAGTTCTGCGAATAATATTTACAAACATAGTACAGCGAGAAGTTCTTTCGACACAAACGTAACATGCAAAAACACACAAAAAAAAACAAGCAACCACACCATAATGGGCCAAACGATATTTGCATGTGTTGGAAGTTTCAAGCTGAGCGAATTGAAATCTATTCACAAAACTGAAACAAGGACCCAATGCGGTCATGGACAATGCAGTCATTTCAAGAGTTGAGGTGCTGCACCAAAGCCTAAATCAGAGAAAAAAAAATAACACCATCCAGTGCAAAGCCGGCGCGAGTCATTTCCTAGGTCTTAACCCCACGTAGCTCGTCCCGCACCGGAAAAAGGCAACACAAGGTGAGGAACCGCAAAAAACTTGTGTAGGAGTGTAGAGTCTGGAGGTTGATTTGTATTATATGTCAATTAGAATTATATACCTTGATTATGCCCATCCTAACCCTCAAAGTGACTTTGAGGTGGATCCCGTCTGAAAGACACAGGTGGGCCCCTGCCCTGGTGTAATGGCCCTGAACTGCCATGAAGACAGGCCACAGGATCAAGTCCGATGGCAGTTCCGCCGTCTGCTGCTCCTTCTTCGCCGCCTTGGCCTGCGCTACACCGGGCTGCTGCCCCGACAGTGGCATCGGACAGAACTTCTATGACCCAATCGCGTGCCTTAAAATAAAATGTCTTTGTAAAGAGCCACACCTGGTATTCACCAGCTAAACCACTCGTCTCTGTCTGCTGTTCAGCAACCCAGAAGCGAACGAAAACCCACCGCATGACTCACAAACATCTCCGGTCTCTGGTCTGGTCCTGTCTCCCGACGTCTGAGTGAGGCACCTCATGGCCTCGGGGTTCTTGGCCGCGTGTCTTTTTCGGCGCTCCTCGTCGTCATGGAACGCACTACGGATAGCTCCGGTTCTCCGGCTGGAGCTAACGAACGTAGCAAGAAGCTACTAGCAGTAACAAGCTTAAGGGAAGCGAATGGCGTGGCAACGAATTGGAAAAGGATGTTCTTGGACTGAGGAGGGGTTGGGACATGTTGGGACCACTTCGAATGGAGGGAAGGGTCAATTTCACCCGGCATTAGCTGCGACATTAGCAGCGACCAGTTTCAGACATCTTCACCCGCCCTTTCAAGGTTTTGTCCACTTCGTCATGCAATTCATTCCCCTCATCCCATGTCTTTTTCTAGAATCACGTGCAATGTGTTCGATCGCACCGGCAAGAACAAATCAGGTCCAGCAACCAACAACCCAACGGGTTTCTTTCCAATACAAGTAAGACTTGGACATCCTCATTGGAATTGAATTAGGGTGCCAATGCCTCATTTCCACTACTAGAAGCCTCTAGTTGCGCTACCAGCCACTTCTGCGCGATCTACCTCAACGCGGCGCAAGAACGAACTCCTCTCCAGCTCCGTGGCTGCAGCTCAGCTTCAAGCAACTGCGAAGCAAGACGGTGAACAAACTAAAGCATTTCATCGCTCAACACCTGATCCAGTAGCCCTTCTAAACAAACGACTATATATCTATATATAAACTTTATATATTTATACATAGAAGGGATGTGGGGGGCTCTGGCTTAACGCCTGCCGGAGAGGCCACTTCGAAAGCGTTCAAAGGAAAGCCTCTGGTATTGTGCGAATTGTTCTCAAAACTGGACGCGCGGCTTGACATGCCATGTTCTTCATCTGCCTGCGCATTCCTCCAGGCGTTCCCCTTCCGCACCAGGGGCATCGTTTGGTGGTACCCTCTGGACCACGGGTTTGTAGAGTGAAAATGAGGGAAATAGTCTTCCAGTCAGGTCCATGCCATCAGCTTCACCGCGTTCACCGCTCACCTCCACCAGGTGCTAGCTCAGCGCCCCTTCCAGCACCGAGCAGCTCAGCGCAGCCGAGCCTCCACAGTGCTGTGCAGTTGCGGCTGCTGCATCGGCACTTCATGTGGCAGTGGCATCCATATGGCCGGTGTCTTTTGCTTCCGCTGCCGAGTCTCTTCATCTGCGGGCGCGGGACGGCTCCAGGCGCAGAGAGATAGACCAAGGTCTCTCAAAGAAAACCGAACAAAAGATCGAAGAAAGGTCAACATCATCCAAGACGACCTTAAGGCTTTAAGGATTTGATTCCATGAAGGATTGAATAGAAGGATATAGAAGGATCATCCTCCAAAACGACCAACGCCGAACCAGGAAGGATTGAATTGGACTGAAATTCCTTCGCTCCACTGGTCCGTTGCCGCCTTCCAAGGCCTCGGTGGAGAAAGCACCCGCCCACGCGGTCGGACGGAGGCCTCGCGATCGGTGCTGTTTTTTGTTTCCCTCTCCGGTGGACCAAGCTGGTATCCATAGCAGCCACTCTAAACGAAACCTTACAAAATGGTCCGGAAAAGCATGAAGAAATAATAAGAACATGGAAATCAACCATGGTGGTTGTTTTTGCGGGGATTGTTCGTTGCACTGCACTGGGCGAGTGCTAGCTTGCCCATTGATTTGTTGCACCCTGGGCGGTGCTCACGTCCTCGAGGTCTATGTCAATATATAGTCTCATGCCTCCCCCCGGGCGTTGTTTTCTGCTTTCCTTCCCTCTGGGTGCAGCGATGACCTTCCGTACATCTTCCAATTTTGGCAGGGCCAGTCTGCCACGGGCTCCATCCACGCCCACATCATACATGCCACACCATGTGCCACGAGCTCGATGTGCCACATGGACACCGTCCCCCCTCGGCCGTTCCGCTCCTCCTCGGCGTGGGGCCCTGGCGTGGGTACGATCGGAGACCTGACATGTCTGAACACACAACCAATTATACACCCTAGGGCTCCAAGTACCTTCTTAGTAGAAGGTGTTTAGAGGGTCCAAAGACCTTCTGAGGATGGGGACAATTGAATTGGAGTCTGTTTAGTAACCTCTATTTGCACACATGTCAAGACAAATCGTACCGCGGGTGCTCCATGTTCAGGTGACACCTCAACAAAACCAATGTGCGTCAAGAATCAAGAATATTCAACAGTCACCAGCATCGCAGCCTCCCACGTTTGCCCCTATCTTATTGATGAGTGTCAGTGGTGGTTTGGAATGTCCATCACCATTATTTTACCACATCTCCACATGTCCTCAGTCTTCGCATCTTTTGCCTCTCTGCGTCTCATTTCGACCTCCCTGCTGCGCGCAGCAATAGAGGCCGCTTTCGCATCCGGAAAACAACACCACGGCACAAGCAGTTTTCAGACTTCACAACCCGCCAAAAGGAACATTAAAAGCACAATGCTCTCAATGCTCAACCTATACTCACTACTTCACAACCAATGCCACGGTGACTTCGTCTTCGTCACGCGCCCAGTTCGCACTCAGGCGAGGCGCTCCGATCAACGCCTCCGGTCTTCGGCTGGCAGTGAAGGCACGTGGGGGCGCAATGGGCAAGGTCTGAGGTGCAAGGAGAGACGAGCAAGATCTTAGCTCACAGTTCAGCCAGGGTCTTAGTTGGCCCAGGCACCTCAAGGCACCAACTTGCAACGAACCTTTCCCAACACGACACTCTTATGTCGAAGATACGGGCGCGCACGCGTCTTTTTTTTTTCAGAATCTGGCGGCATGGTAATGTCTGACGCAATGAATGAGGCCATAGCTATGGCGAACAGAAAAGCCATGGCAAACTGAAGTTCCCATGGCAAAAGGAACTAGTAGCCACAAAACCAACGCAAATTAAGTGCAAGTGCACCTCTTGTGTATTGGTCAGTGCGACACAGCTATGCTGGCTATGCTGGTGGCTGAGCCGGCTGAGTGCTTTTAACCACAGGTGCGATGCTTCTGACGCATCAGTTGGTTTTTGGTCGAGTCAGACTTGAAATCTTGCCGTGCCAGCTGCTGCATCATGGGTTGCCTGATCGTGGAGCTTGCGGAAGGTTTTTGGCGAGCCACTCTGCATATCCAGTGAGTCAAACTAAACATCAAAAATATGCAATGAAACAACACCTCACCATGGCTTCTACCGAGTAGAACGCCCCATCAGATCTTTCCCGAGTAAAGAACCCGCGCGGTGCAGCCAAGGGCGCAGGCCCAATCAGGGAACCAGCCCTCGGAGACGGACATGCCACCTACCATCTTGCGACCGAAGGTCCATCCAGACCTTGGCCCAAGCGGATGGTGCTGATGGCGAGGGATATTAATGATTTTACTATTTTACTAGTAGTAAGCCAGAAGCCCCTAGTAGCCTCCTTGCTCCCAGTAGTAAGGCCAGGAGCCCCTAGTAGCGTCCTTGCTCCTAGTAGTAAGGCCAGGAGCCCCTAGTAGCGTCCTTGCTCCTAGTAGTAAGCCAGGAGCCCCTAGTAGCCTCCTTGCTCCCAGTAGTAAGGCCAGGAGCCCCTAGTAGCGTCCTTGCTCCTAGCAGTAAGCCAGGAGCCCCTAGTAGTCAGTTCCAGCCTCAAACATCGAGTCGTGAACTAAGCTCAGTTGTCCACATGCGTTGTCTGCGTCGAGCGGCTGGTGGCGCTCGACAATCTCCACATAATCGCTGGCCGATAACGACATCTGAGAATCACTGCCTGCCCCAAGAAAGGGAGAGAGTTCGGATTGGGGATGTTTCAGCAAACAAGACGCTTCTCACTGCAAGTATTATATAAGTATATATGGCACCCACCAAAAGTCTTGCTCTTCTTGGAGGCTTGTGATGGACGAGTTTTAGAGACACGTTTTGATTGCATCAACATCATCAACTGCTACACCAAGTAATGCAGCACCTGCGTCCAACAACTCCCGTGTTTGGCCTGAAGCGAAATCTCTAGCAGCTTGCACCAGCTGTGCTTGTGCACGCACTGGCGCCGGCGATGCATGAACTGGCTGCGGTGCGGGTGCTGCAGGTTGTACGGCAGTGGGCCGGACGTCCTGATCTCTGTCCCGGGTCTGCCTGAGTCTTCAGCGCAGCATTTGCTTCAGTGCGCGTGCTCAGCCAGTAGTGAACTTGTAGGTCTGTGGATTGCTGGAGAGGCCCCAAAAGGAATTTGGACTTGACCATGTATAGGCGCCTGTCAACCCCAAAGAGAAACCTTGTGGACATGCCGGCTTCAAAGTTGAACGTAAGACGTTCATACAGGGAAAACAAAAAATCAAGTTGGTTTGAGGCATGTATATAAATCCACCCAAGCAAGTGCATGGTGGTTTTCATCATGTGATTGAATGTTCAATCTGCGCCCCTGGATCCTCAGTGCCCATTCATCATTTGTAGGGGGAGTTGTTCGATCATTGCTCGCGACGACCATGTTGATCCATGTGGCACAATGATCTGCTTGCTGATCGGATCCGTTCTGGCATCCACCCTGGGCGTCAACAGCGAGCATCTCCAGTGCCACACAACTTTTTCCAGTACCAGGAGAACAGTCGGATAACATATTAATAAGATTGCCCTTCCTGTTCCAGGCTCAAACAGCATGATACAAACAGGCGATTCGAGCACGGCAGGAATGGCGGTCGGTCCTGTACGTCTTTTTCGGATATTTTTGCGTCTCACGCCTCTAGGATTCATAGAACAAGGGCCGGAATGGGATGGTTGCAATTTAGATCTTATTTCATATACTTCGCTTGATTTCGACCAGCTGTTACGACCCTTTGGGGGACGGGGGAGCAGTATCCTCACTCGAGCGGGGTAATCAAGCAACCGGACATGATCAAGTCTACAGTTGCAGCCCAGAATTGATTCTTCTCTCTATCTAGTCTATAAATTAGACCTAATTACTAATTACTAATTACTATGAATTCTTCTAGCCATTTCCTGATGTGATGTTCTCAATTCTCTTCGATCCATAAAGTGTAAGGAAACTTTGTGGGAGGGTATTTCCACGGATTGTTGTGTCATTTCGACATCATAATATATACAAAGCCGAGCAGCGTCTCTTTCGCTCTGGCACTGGCATCAACGATCCATGAGGGAACCCATCCGGGTGGGGTGCCTTGGTCTTTGCGGCGGCACCCGGTGGGGCATTGAGCTTTTAAGCGCAGCTTCTTTTTGCAAGATTTTGCAAGATCTTGCTGAGTTCAGTTCAGTTCTTCTTTTTGCAAGATCTCGATGACTCTTGGAATTGCAGTCATGGGGCAAGCACTAGCTAACAAAACTTCGAAACAAGCATCTGAGAATTAGATTAACACGTCGGAGTTGTACAAAGGACAGTCTCATAAAGTCTCTATGCATAGACTTCCTACAATACATGTCCTCTTTACAATCTTTGGAGCGATTCCTTTAACATATCTTAAACATCCTTTCATGTTACTCTCAGATTTTGAGACCATCAGTGACATGATGTCGGATTCCTCTGAAACTTCCTCATCTCCCCTTCTTCAGTCGCCCACCCGGAACCCCACCCATGACCGCTGTTGGGGGCTCAGTGACCGCTGTTCGACAGGTTCTTCGCGTAGCTCCAGCCTGTGGGAGGAAACACCAACACAAGAGCACAAAAGCAATGCGATCAGGTAGAATCTTCAGAAATATATCCTCACAAAACATGGATTGTAAAACGGCTGCCTGTCAAAAGAAAAAGCACCTGCAAACCCTGGCAGGTTCACCTGGCTGCTCATCTATTCTGTTCATGTTCACCGGTCACCCCATGTCAACTCCCAGTTTGGACGCCCAGGCATCCCACATGGTTTCTCATCTCTCAATGAGGTTGCATGGATGTTCTTATATGTTTTTGTTCAATAACCTCTACAGGCAAGTGCAAACTGGACATGGAGAACATCAAACACATCTCTCTCTCAACACGGTCTTCGTAGCAGCAAGTCAATGTCATTGTTGAACCATCATGTTCTCCGAGATTCTCCTGGCCCCGCCTGTGGGGTGCGTTTCAAGGACTTCGATCAAATCACCTTGTCGCACGGGGACCATCGTGGGACCGGTGGCCTCGAAGTTCCCGCAGGCACGTCCTGGCGCAGGGACCGACGGTCGGAGGCACCTAGGACCGGACATACTGACTCACATGAAACCAAAAGGTCAATCATATATTGTTGCAGGTTGGTTGTTGGAGGTTGTGGTTGTATATACAATCACCCAAGTTTGCTTGCTCACTCGTATGCTCTGATCATCTCTGATCGGTTTTTCATGAGAAATGAGAAACCCAAAACGCACCCTGCTCCTTGATAACCTGATGCTTGAGCTGCAGGTGCTGCCGCGGCTGGTGCAGCTGGGGCTTCTTCCCTGCGCTGCACCAGTGGCTGTACTTGCGGCTGGACCTGGACCTGTGGTGCTACAGGGGCGACCTGCGGCGCTACCGGGCACTGCTGCGGTGCTGGCAGCTGAGGCCTCATCCGGACGAGGCGGAACCCACGACATGTTTAAATGATTTTAAGTCTTCTCTTGTGGAACACCCAGTGCCACCAGAAAGCTGCTCGCCAAAACCGTGCAAGTCGAGCGAGTCAAAAACCTGCCCACCAAGGCACTGAGGCATCTGCGGCTGTGGCGGTTCCCTCCTCTCCTCTGCTCTCACCACCGGTGGCGCCGTGGGCGCTGCCTGCGGTGCCGGCGCCACCGGCGCCACCGGCGCGACCGCGGGCGGCGCGGTGGCAATGGGCTGGGCCATGGGCTGCGCGGCGACGTTCGGCGCCGAGGCCTTCGGTAAGGAGGTCATCGCCTGGCTCCGGAAAGGTCAGGTCAAGGCATGTCAAGGCCAAGCTACGAACGTAAGTTAGGCATCGCCACGAACGGAGCAAGAAGCTACGAACGTAGCTCCTGGCATTGCTACTCGTAGCGAGAAGCTACGAACGTAACAAAGGCATTGCTACTATAGGAGTGTTCCTAGTAGCAATGCCAGGAGCTACCTTCGTAGCTTCTTGCTCCGTTCGTAGCTTCTTCCACCAGTTCCAACCAAATCATTGCTTGGGCCATTGTCCTCGCTCCTTTGATGTCGTTGTGTGCCTCCCAACTTAGTCATCTGCAGCATCTGCGCTCCCAAGAAAGCCCTCCCCATCTTTCCATCCTATCCACATCATCCAGCCACATCACTCATGTGTCAATATGTGAGGCCTCATGTGCTCCAAGTTCACTCCAAGATCAACCGGGACATTGGAACCTTACCTCACTGGTTCGGTATGTTCCCATCCTTTTTCTACATAGAGCCTCACTGGTACGTTCTGAAGGGTTGGTGGTTTCTTCTTCCGACCCTTTCCTCCCCCGTCCGGCACCTTCGGTGCGATCTTCGGAGACTTCTTGGGCGCCACCGGCGGCGTCGCCTTCGACACCTGCTTCGCGGGTGGCGCCGGCGTTGGCGCCGGGAGTTTCTCGGGCGCCGGGAGCTTCTGCGGGGTGGGCGTCTCCGGCGGATAGTCCGCATCGGCTAAAGGCACCTCATCGACGCCGGAGCCGGAAGCTGCAGCGAAATAAAAGAGAAAACACAATTGCAAAATAAATGCAGACGTTGTGAGAAAGATTGAGGAAGTCTGATGTGCGTCTTTTTAGTTTATAAAAATAGGGAGGGGGATCACGAAACGTCTTCCACAGGCGCGCTCACTCCAAGGCATTTGATTCACATTGACTGTCCATTTCTTTTTCAAGAACAGGCCTCTGTGGGCGACTGACTAGCAGAGTCTGATTCCGATTTTGGCATGGCCCGTATTTCTGTGAACAAGTCATTGGATGGGGACTTTGGCAAGATAAGGGCTGCTGTCAAACGCAGGTGCTTCTTGGGTCCATCTTTACAACAGGACCATTCTCCGGGACGAGTGGCATTCTTGCACACCTCATAGTGCTTCTGATAGGTGCCATATTCGCCGATCCAGTCGCACTTCCCATCTTCTTTCCGCAACTTGGGATTGTTAATGCACATGATTCGCAAACCAGATAGCATTCTCCACAGCAGGACGTTCTCGCCTCAATTCCATGCCAAGGAGTTCAAACAACTGCAATTCACAAGATGCGAGCCATATAAATCTTCACGTCCAATTCCTGCAGGACTATCATATCATCTGTAAACCTGATTATATAGTATTACTATGGCAACCCCAAACTGTGCGAGGACCCATTCAAGTTCACAAAATGTTTCGTTCTTAATCGCTGAGACGGTCCCACTTGAAAGCGCCCGCTGAGATGGTCAGTAGATCCCCAGGGAGGCCCCAATTGAACGAACAAAATATGAGTCTGTCACTATGTCTGTCGTATCGCGGTGTTGAGTCTATTCAAAAGCATTCTCTGTGCTTCTCATCTTCTCAGCTGCAGCACAGTGGCCCCTCTGGGTGTCGGAAGAGACCTTGGGACGTTCGACGTCGTGTCGTTCGCAAGTGAGCCACTGCCAAAGATCTTTCAGTCTGCGTTTGTCTCCTTTTCCACGTAAAATCAGTGAAGCATGCAAATCAGTGAATCCGCTGGTCTTGTGAATCTGTACCGGTATGGGCACTCCAAAAAAGATCAAATAAGCAAACATAATAAACCCTCCAACTGACCCTCTAACCTTGGGTCCACCGAACAGGTATGCGAACCAAGGGGCGGAGACCAAATCCTGATTCTCGTTCAAACTCTTCTTGCAAACTGGACAGGGAACACATCGATCAGGACCTGCTGCTTTGGCCTCAAGGTCACATAACACATCATGAAGACTCTTGAACATCTTGAACTGAACATGTCTGAAATCATGTTTTTCTTAAAACATCTTAAAACTTTCTGAAATCAGAAAGCCGACCAAGAATTCACATCAGGACCTCCCGCGCCCTCGCCCTTTGGGCTGGGCAACTTCTAGGATCAACCAAGCTGACCTCATGACGCCCTTGGAAGCTCTTTCTGAGGTAACACCCCACCCTTCGACATCCCACCATAATCCATCAGAAACATGTGATTTCTAGTTGGCTTATGTTGGCTTATTGATTTATATGTTTTTTGAGCCTTATCAAGTCACGTTCGCTGACTGACTGGCACTCGCTTGCGTCTAACACTCGCCATGACACTCGCTGAGCCCAAGTCTGCGTGTCCGGATGCTGGTTGAACCACTGCCAAATGCAATCTCCACCTCGGATATAGCTGTGCAGCTGACAAATCACAAATGTACCGCATCTATATCACGTCTGACCAAAACAGCTATGAACAAATGCAACAAAAATGACACGCTCCCAATATCACTGGACAACTGACAAATATATGGAAAGTTCTAGCGAACGTGGGGGTTGCAGTTGAACATCTCTACATTTTCCGGTCGAGCCCAAATCCCTGTGATGCGGTTGGGCGGCAGAAAAGGTGAGAACAGCTCGTCAACTTCGGTCGGCATCCCACCACGTGGATCTGGCAAATTTTGCAGATGAACCTGAGACAACGAGGCCGCCAAGTCGCGGCAATCGGCCTACGAGGGTCGGTGGAACCTGAAGAAACATGCTCCACAACGGCATAGGCATAGATTGTTTTTAGTAAGGTGGTCGCCAAAGCGACTCGAAGCAAACATGTGCGGAGAACCACCAAATCATGCAAATGGTCATACCATGTGTATGCCCAAATGGGAAGCTTTCGCCCAAACATGTGCTTTTGGGGTGCCAAAAAAAGATCTTCGAAGCCTCAAATCGCTTGGCCAAACAACGACTGTTCCATCCATCTCTTTGACCAAGAGGCTCCTCCCTTTCGGTGAGAAGCTGATCCTCCTGCACCTTCACCTCGTCGGGCTCCTTTAGAGAATCCTCCTCCTCGGTATCACTGAAACAACGAATAGATCACACACGGTCCCTGAGGGGGTCCCCGAACAAATACAGTAGTGACACGGTTTCCAATATAATTACTTTGTTTAAAGTATCTAATTACTTGGGGTTCTATATAAGAGGTATCACTTTGCACAGGGTGTCACTTTATGGAGTGAACTCCATGGCACAAGGTCCAAAGCAGCGTGCAGTTCCCGAGCACAGGATGAGTTGTGTTGCACCGAACCGACTGGGGACAGGATTCTGAACTGTCCAGCAAACACTTCACAAGCTATCAATGATGTTACACCATCTCAACTGAAGATAGAAAGCTTTGATGAATCATGAACGCACGTTGATGCACTGTATTTCCTGCAAACGCCTGCACATGGGGATCTGATATGTATGTGTATATATATATGTTATTACAATATGTTTCTATGATATAATTATGAACACCTAGTATCCCTGAATTATCCGATAAACATGGTTGGTTACCCTTTGGTGCTCAATTTGGCCCTGATGGCCCCACATCTGCCCACGAATTGGTGCCTTCGAGCGATTCATACACGGCATCCAGGTGACAGGCGCTCTGTGAAGCGACAGCATTGGCTTGTGTAGAAAAGCAGGTGTTTAAGTGACCTCCTCTAAGAACGAACACATGCACCGAACCAACAAACTGCGCATGTATCAAGTGGACCCTGGTCATGTACCGATGAATGCAGCCGAACCCTTGGTCCTTCCACTTGAGGCCAAGAAACAACCAAAAGGGTCACCGTAAGCATCTTTGGAGTCACATGGATGAACAAGACCAACGCTACCAACCCCTTCAGCCAAATACAGTGGCCGTGCTACGCGCGAAGAGTGGATACCACAAAATTGCTTCCAAGTGTCTATGATGGCCTTGTTCACCTTGGGCTGCTGTGGAGGTGGCTTCTTTTCAGCCTGCGTCACGTGGAAAAAGAAACTTCAGGCCCCCCCCCGCCCCTAAAAAATGGTAAAATGGGGGTTCTGGGGAGTTCTCGTTCATCAATCA